AACAGATGATAAGGACCAAAGTGACTTAAATGATAAAAACTCATAAATTGAACCTGAACCTGTAGCGCCTTCAAATGACAGAAATAAAAATGGGAATAGAGAACAAAAAACAGAAATGCAGGTGTATTCGAGAAGGAACCGAACTCAAGGAAAAAAGACCGAAGATTCTCAACACTGCCAAAAATCAGTCCCACAAGACCTTACTGTAATTCAAGGTACTCTTCCAACTGATTCTATTTCTAATTCCTTAGATCTCTACCTATTGCGAAACGCAAAGGTGTTAGAAATACTTCTAAATAGCCTATTTCTATGTTTGTGTCCTACAAAAAGTTGTCTCCTTGTTATTCAGCCTTTACTTCACAACTCTCTAGTGTGGAGATTCCAACAAATGTGCAGGATGCTCTACAAGTTCCCGAGTGGACGGAGGCTATTTTGGAGGAATTGCGAGCTCTTGAAAAAAATGAGACATGGGAGTTAGTGGATTTACCCGAGGGAAAGAAACCAGTGGGTTGTAAATGGGTGTTCACCACCAAATTCAAATTAGACGGATCCTTGGAAAGGTATAAGTCCCACCTAGTAGCTAAGGGATTCACGCAGACATATGGCATTGACTATCTCGAGACGTTTGCTCCAGTAGCTAAGCTAAACTCAATTAGAGTTCTGTTGACAATCGCAACAAATCACGACTGGTCTCTTCAGCAGTTGGATGTGAAGAATGCTTTCTTGAATGGGCACCTAGAGGAAGAAGTCTATATGGATTCCCCACCAGGTTTTGGAGGGAAGTACAAGTCAAAGATATGCAGGCTTAGAAGATCTCTTTATGGACTAAAACAATCTCCAAGGGCTTGGTTCGAAAGGCTTACTCAATTTGTGAAAAAGCAAGGGTATGTGCAAGGACAAGCAGATCACACAATGTTTACTCGACATTCACTAGAAGGAAAAACAACAGTTCTTATAGTGTATGTTGACAATATCATCCTTACAAGAGATGATGTGATTGAGATAAAAAATCTAAAGGAACGTCTTGCCTCAGAATTTGAGTCTCAGATAAAGGACTTAGGCCCGCTAAAGTACTTTCTTGGCATGGAGGTTGCACGATCGAAGAAAGGAATTATAGTGTCACAAAGGAAGTATGTTCTTGACCTGTTAAAAGAAACAGGAATGAGTGGTTGTAGACCAACTGAAACTCCAATTGATCCAAATCTGAAGTTTGTAAAGGAAGGAAAATTGATTGATAAGGGCCAATATTAGAGATTGGTAGGCAAGTTGATTTACTTGTCACATACTAGACCTGATATTTCCTTTGCTGTGAGCCTAGTCAGTCAGTTCATGCATTCTCCACGAGAAGAACACCAAGAAGCTGTGTATCGAATCCTAAGGTATCTAAAGAGTTCACCTGGGAAAGGGTTGTTCTTCAAGAAGAATGAGCAAAGAAGTGTTGAGGCTTATACGGATGCAGACTGGGCTGGTTCATCTATTGATAGGAGGTCTACATCTGGATATTGTACATTTGGTTGGGGAAATTTGGTGACATGGAGAAGTAAGAAGCAAAATGGGGTGGCTCGAAGTAGTGCTAAGGCTGAGTATCGATCCATGGCACACGGAATTTGTGAAATATTGTGGCTCAAGAGATTTTTGGAAGAACTACGCAGACCTGTGAGTTTTCCAATGAAGTTGTATTGTGACAATAAGGCTGCCATAAGCATTGCTCATAATCCAGTTCAACATGATAGAACAAAGCATGTTGAAGTGGACATACACTTCATCAAAGAGAAGATTGAAGATGGAAGTGTGTGCATTCCTTTTGTTCCAACAACAGAACAAGTTGCAGATATTTTCACAAAAGGTCTTTTCAGAACTACTTTTGAGTCCTTTGTAAGCAAGTTAGGCATGCTTGATATTTACATGCCGGCTTGAGGGGGAGTGTTGAATGAGTAGGCAGATTTAGCCATAATCTGCTCCACCATTGAGCTGGCAGTTTTGATTATAATCTGCTCCACAAATAAAGCTGGCAGATTTGATTAGAATCTGCTCCTGTAAATATGGGATTAGAATATATTATTCTAGGAAACACAGTTACTATTATCAAAAAAAATATATTATTCTAGGAAAATAGTTTAGAGGAAATCCCTTGATTCAAGGATTTCCTAAGAATTAGGGATTGATTAGTTTATTTGGTCTTTACTTGTTCTCTTATAAATACTGTACAAATACTATGAATAAAATATACTTTTGCAGTATCTAAACTTTCATTTATCATGCTCACTAGCTGTACTCTTTCTTTTATTATCTTTTCCAGCCAAATTCCTTAAACTACTGTTTCTTTTGCCTCTTCATTACAAAATTGTGATTATAAAAGCTTTTATATACTAAAATAGTGAATTGTTAAAGCTACAAGTTCTCAGCTACTTTAACCAACTGTCCTATCTTGTGCATTCCGATAACTTTGTTTATGCTAAACAAATACAAGCTTAAATCTAATGTGTAGTCGTTCATGTCTTATGGAATTAAATTCTGTTAGTCTTAACCAATTGCTATTATAATGTATTTGTACTTTAGTTTGTCCCATTGAAATAAACAAAGAACCGAATAAAAAAAAACAAACTTGAAAAAATTGAACCGAACCAAACTAATTCGGTCGGTATTCGGTACACACTATTGAAAATCCAAAGAACCGAAGGCCCACACCTAGATACATAGACTTAGAAGTGGAAACATGCTGCCTACTTGCCATCAGGTTTATCAGTAAGGACATACAATGTCATCCCCCAAAGGGCTATTGTTGAAGATTGTAGATGTTTATTGGAAGCTACAAAGGCCACCATTAAACATATTTGGAGGGAGGTCAATCACTGTGCCGGTTTCCTGGCAAATGAAGGGCACAAACAGGAAGAAGATTTACTTATCTAGGAAGAGGCAATCAAGGATATAGAGTTTCTCCTACTGGCATATTTTAGCCATGTAGCTTATGAATTAATTTAAACTAGGTGATTCTTCCCATCTGTCCGAGCCTTGGTAGTCAGAGTTGGTACATGTTGCTGGTGGGAGGTTGCAGGTATCCCGTGGAATTAGTTGAGGTGTGCGAAAGCTAACCCAGACACCACGGTCATGAAAAAAGAAAAAACGAGTTTAAACTTTTCTGGTCCTTACTAATGTACCAAAAAATTGTTTTATTGTTGTTTACTTCTTTAAATGTCGACACTACTTACAAGAAATCCCTTGCACACCACTGTCCTAGAGGTCTCAAGAATCAGCGGATCTTTTTTTTTTTTTTTTTTTTTGAAAAGGTAACTTGTATTATAAACACAGGAATACTCAGGATGTATTCCAGTAATACTTACAATCAGAAATACAAAAGTGTTGCTATTTTCCTATGAACTCCTTAAGGATTCTAACATACTAGTGATATCCTCATCTTCATGAGGATATTCATGTTTACACCAAAAATAGAAAAGAGCTAAACATTTCAGCTTCATCTTCTCCATAGAGCAGCTCTTGTTCTCAAAACATCTTTGATTCCTTTCCAGCCAAATAGTCCACCAAATGCAGGCTGGGACAATCTTCCATCTCTCCCTGTGCCCCGACTGATTTCCATCCCGATTCCAACATGCCAAAGCCTCCTTTATGTTTCCTGGCATAGACCAACTGATGCCCCTTTTATTGATGAAAATTTGCCAAAGTTTCACTGTCTCCTTACAGTGTAAAAAGAGATGATTTATTGTCTCTGTCTCACATTCACAAAAAAAACATCTGGAGCACAAATCGAGGCCCTTCTTCATACGGTTATCCTGCGTGAGAACAACCTGTTTTGCTAAGAGCCAAGTAAAACAGGCCACCTTGAAGGGCACCTTAACTTTCCAGATCATTTTCCATGGCCAATAGCTTGATTGAGTGTGTGTCCTCAATCAAGCGGATCTTGTTGCATGTGAAAAGGAACTGGAGAAGACTGCTCTATATGTCACGTGTTTATCCTAAGGATGGAACATATGTATTTTCAAAAACAGGAACCAGACCATCGAATGCCTAGTCCATGAACATTGTCCTGAGATTAAGTTTAGAGTTTCAAGTGAGCTGCGAATACTTCCCTGTCATTAAGAACTTAGTTTGAGCCTTGGTTTTCCTGAAATAGTTTTTAGGGGACCAGAGTGAGGGATCTTTTGTAGCGCTCAATCTCAATGAAATAATTTGTTACTTACAAAAAAATATAGGAATATCAAGAACTCTATTGCTCAAAGCAGGTAGCATTTACTCTTTAGTATACTATATTACAAACACAAATGTTTTTCTTTTAAGGGTTATGGTAAGCACCATCCTAAAACCCTTCCTACCTAGGAGCACAACAGTGGTTTTTCCACTTTGCTCCTTGGTTACTCGAACCTCCAACCTCATAGTTGAGGTGGAAGTCCCTCACCACTAGACTCTCCCCCTCCCTTGTCTTCAAATAAAAATTGGAGATCCCAGAGGATAACTGTGCTAAGGAATTGTTGAGCAAACTAGGTGTCAGAATTTAGTCTGATTGAACTTGATTCTGATTTGACTCCATTCCAGGAGGTAGATTTAAGTGAACCAATGCCTTGTATGCCAAGTGACATGCTAAGGCTACATTACTTTTGACAGTACTCCCAGTACACCTTGTAATAGAAAATACATGCAGTCAGATGCAATTATAGCTCATGGGAATGGTCGAACATAGATTTGTAATACAACAGCTTGTGACCTGATAAGGAGGAAAAACACGGTTTCAAGAAATAGCTTTAGGAACAACATGTCAACTGTGACTTATGAGTCACCCTCCACACCACTAACATCATCCATGAGAAGACACTGAGCACCATTTTCCAATCATTTGAGAGACTTAGTATCTGTTTAGATCTTCTAACTCTTCTTCTAGTTTGGTCATGTGTACCTATCTTTTGTCTATTAATACCTAATTAACTACAAGAGCAGTCAACTGTTTCTTAAACATATTGTCATAAAAAAGGAAAGAGTAAACTTGTTACCAGAACCCAAATGTGGCAGCTGATAATGTCATCACACTGTAAACAAATGGCCCAGCAATTGTATCTGCTAGTCGCTGAATTGGTGCTTCACGGCCTTGGGCATCCTCAACCTGGAAGATTAGAAAATTTATATAGAAGCTCATAAATTCCTATTTTTACGCATCAACAGTAACAGGCAGTGGCCCAACACATATCTGCTAATTCTAGTTTAGGATCACTAGCCACTTTTGTGTCAAAAGATGGGTACACACTTTTGTCTAACTGCTTACATTAGAAAGAGTAATTCAAGGTGAAATTTTCAGAGGAGGAAATAATATTCTCTATCCAGGAAATAAAGGCTGTAGGTAAACAACATATGCATGTCAAACTTTCAAGGGAGTCGCATAAATAACTCCACAAACAGTAATCAAAGTCTCATTAGAAGTCTCAAAATTCCTATACAGCACAGAAAATTATAATTCACACTTATTTGAAAACTACAATTCAAAGATGGAGCCACTACAAGCTTTAGAACATGTTGAGCTTTTCGAGAAAATAGATGTAGTTGGGATTTGAGAAATAAAGAGTGTCTCAGCTTTTGGTCGCCAGCTAGGAGTAAAGTAATCATAGCACCTTCATCTTGGCAACTGGCAAGTGCTATATTCCATATGTGCCAGAACTTCCTCAATAAGTGTAAATTGAAACAGAGAGACAGCCAAAATATGCTGATCCAAATAGACAGACCAACCCAAAACATTTACAAGTACAATAAAAAATATAAGGTTTATTTTACTTTCTTTCATAATCGTGATGTTTGGGCTAGTTTGCGCTCACCTCGACTAACTTCATGGGATATCTGCTACCTCTCACCAGTACAGATATCGATTAACTCTGCTGGAACAGATGGAAAGAAATTTCCTATTGTTTAGATCTCACTTTGTTGACCACTAGGTCACACCCTAGGTGAGGTGGAATCACCAAGATTCATTGAAAATTGAATGAATTGAAAAAAATTTAAAAAGAATTTTTAAAATTTGAAAAAAATAAAAAATTGGATGGGGAGAGTCAGGGTATGGTGTGGAGTTAGAAAAGAAATTGTAATTTGAGGTTGGAGGAGAGTTTCGGAAAATGTTTTCCCTAATTTTTGAAGGGAAGTCATTTTCCTTAAACTGAAGAAAAATAAGTTGATTTGGAAAACACTTGAGCCAACCAAACATGAGAAAATTGGAAAACATCACCCTTAGTAACTTCTGCCTACTGACGGACTCTGCCTATATTGTTTATCTAGCCAAGTTTTCTATCTTTGCCGAACTACTATCTTTCTTCTTTATGGTTACTGTTCTACCGGTGCCAATCTTATTTTCGGTAACAGTACCTGTAGCACAGTGCTAGTTTGAGTTTGTTCATTATGGTAGCACTGTGCATCTTTCTGGTGACCGTACAGAAATACGACACCACTTCATGGTGATTATTATTCTAGTGACGTTGCAACTTCTTTTAATGACCATTCTAGCAGCTCCATTCCATTCTCAGTGAATGTTCCAGAAGCACTGCACCTCTTCTTTTTAAGGTTCTTAGCACTGAACTCAGAGTAGCAGTGCACCTTTTTTTGATAACCATTTTGACAAGAAAACCTTTCTCCGACAGTCCGAACAGTATATTGGAAGCAACTTTGAACTTCTCCTATGAGATTCTAGCAACCAAAACTTTTCTCCAAGGATTTCAATTTCAAACAAAACAAAAAAACAAGTGAGATTCAAGTAGTCAAAGGGTAACATGTATGTGAGAAAAAAAGGACGTTCAGACACTACAAGATTGGACTACTACACTCAATGAAAAACCACCAGAATTAGCTTATACGATATGTCAAATGAATTTTCAGACGTTATGATCAATTTTGCAATCTAAAGCTTTTTGTCATTACATCAACAAAATAGTAGCTTTAATCTCTTTTTATACAGTGGTGCCCAAACCAGCTTGTGTATACCTCAACAAATTCCACAGCGTACCTGCTATCTCCCACCACCAAGGCTTGAATAGATGTGAAGAAATCACCTACGGAGAAATATTTTCTCCAAAGGAGAGTAGCTTTAACTCCCTAATAAAGAAGCATCCCTACGATATCTGTTTTCCCTCCTCAAGGTTCTAAATATCTAAATGCTAGAAAATGTACCAAGCAACAAATATTACTTGGAAGGAAAAACATCTCTAAGAAAAAGTGTACTGACCATGTTAACAATCTTGGAAATTGTTGAATTGGAACCAGTGGAAGAGGCCTCAATCCTCAAAGGACTGTCCTGAAACATAACAACAAGGACTTCAAAATAAAATAATATAATCAGAAATGTAAATCCAGTCTATAAGGAAAATCCAGTTCTACAATCATAAGGTGTTCATCAACTAACATTTGGATCATCATAAGTGGCACAAATCTAAGAACTCTGAAAACAATTGGCGCAAATCTAATGCACCATCATTCATGTAACCTTAATAAGGATCAGTTAATATTTCTGAATCTAATGTCTCTTCAAATGTATATAAGTTGGTATATAGCCTATTCCTATGTTGATAACAATAATAAGTAAGTCATTCTAAAAGGCCATGAAACCTCATTTTGTTACAAATGACAGTGGGGCAGTAAACTAGTCTACGTCAGAAAGCTGCAAATAGCATATCTATACACGTAATATCTTGCCACCATGTCCGAACAGAGCAGATCGGACGTAGAGGATTCATATAGCTGAATCCAACTAGTTTGGGTATCATATTTGATTGATTGATTGAATCTTGACACCACCATACCCAGTTAATTGTGCCAGCTGAGACAGAAACACCCTTCTCTTTAAACACCGGAAGAGACTCTCCAGTAAGCATAGATTCATCCACAACACTTCGACCTGCAACGACTCTTCCCTGCAGAGGCAATTTGAATTATCATTTGAGAATGTAAGATGTTGTATGTCTAGTCAACAAACAGGAGAAAACAAGTATTTTAAACAGAACTCGACATCCTTGACAGGCATTTGTATTCCTTCCAAAGACTGAAAAAGGTGCCATAAATGCTTTTAAACTAATAATTAATCAGTTGCTTTTAAACAAGACAAATTTCTCATTTGTCCAAAATTACCTATTCAATCCTAGGGAAAACTTTTTTTTAAAAATCATTCCTATCATCCTATGGAACACATATTCCATCTGTTTTTTAAGATAAGGACCAAAAAGTGCCAAAGTGAAAAAAATTGCTAGAAACCACCGTAAAGATGTACTGAGGTAATAACTCTTTCCTTTTGTAATGACTCCATACTCTGTTTGTAGTAGTTGATGGCTTTAGTTTACATTAGTATCCTAAATGCTTGGATAAATGAAATCCAAGGAAATCAGATATGTATTCTATTCTGCTTTAATGAAGATATCCATACATTCATCCTTGGGATAAACTCCTGAAAGAAAAGTACTCATGCAAAATTTGACTTACATCTACGGGTATAGTTTCTCCAGGAAAAACGAGCAAAGAATCACCAACTCGAATATCATCTGTTGGAACTTCAATACATATTGCATCAGAACTGACAACGTCAGTCGAGGAATCACTGCTGGAGGAAGTAATTACAAGTCTAGACTGAGTGGATATAAGCGACTGCCAAAAGAACCACACCAATATTTCGTAAGAAAAAGGATTAACAAAGTATAGAAGTTTCTCTTATCATGAATACAAAGGGAAAAAGTAAGGTACAATACAAACTTCAATTTATTTTAGTTCTTCAGCACTTCATTAGTGGACTCTGGGGATCTAGTCTGAATAGTGAAATGTATTTTATTTCATATGCAGATCAAAAATAAAGAGTAGCCTTGTGTAGCTTTATTTATTGTGTTTAATAAAGTAAGAAAACTGTAGCCCGAAAATAACCTTAGATTATTCTTTTGTTAAGAGCAACTATTAGGTAGCATAAATCTTTAACTGTTCGGAATACTAAACATATGTTTTTCCTCCATGGATGTGAATAAATATATACTGGCCACCAGAAATAAGAGATCTGAGCTTTTATGCAACTTCTAAAACTAGATCATCCGTAACCCACTTCATACACACCTTTTACAAGCTATAAAATATAACTGTTTTTTTTTCATAAGTGAAAGGTCAAACTCCAGAAATATAACTGATAATAACCAATATTAACTTTCTGGAAAAGGGAACTCTTTAATGCATCAATAAAACAAGAGAAAATTTGATAGTAGGTGTGCAGGAATTCAAAATCTGAGGACTTACTGGAAAAACAAAACATTTATAATAGTTGGATTTCATGCTATCAAGGAGAACATATTGTTCAATAACAAATTTAAATGGGTGGTTTAGCATAGAAGTTTCATGAATGGTTTTAACATATTCATTGATGCTATTGTATCAAAGAACTCCAATATCTAAAAGACTAAAACAACCAGTATCCAGTGGTTAATAGATTTTCCAACCTTTGGGGATGGTCAAATATTGAACAGTCTCTTAGCCCATATTTTTGATCCATTTTCTTAAATCACATGCAATGAAAACAACTTACTAATAGCTCATTCATGTCACTAGATGCCTTCAGCCTTGCCCTTTCCTCCAAGGAACGCCCTAGTAATACAAACCCAAGAAGCATGACCTGCGTACTAAAATCAATATTTTTGAATGAGCAAACTCATTGCTACAGTGAACAAATAGCAGTTTAGCGACACTGAATAGATTTTGGTCAAGACAGACTATCATAGAAGTATAATTAGAAGGTATTGCAGAGCATAAATGATATCTTAATGAATTGGAAAAATAGTACATATGAGAACTACATAGTGAAAGTTAATGTTTGATAGATGGAGAACGATTACAGATTTATGGAAATTTCACAAAATTCAGCCATTGCAAAAGGAGAATGGACTCAGTGGTTAGCAATACATTTCAAAATAACTTCAGTCAGGTCAAGAAAAACATGACTAATGATTTAGAGTAGAGGACCTGGGACCATGTGAAACCCTGATGACATTATTTGAATTTTTCTAGGACTTCAGATGAAAATATTTTGAAGCTTGAGGTTTTCAAATGTTAAAAAAGGCTGTGCCCAATAAGGCTCAATTATCTGTGGCACCACCTCGACAACCTATTACATTGAACTCTGTGGAACAAAAGACCCTCTCAGCATTAAAAATTCATAAGCAAATATAAAAAGAGAAACTAGTTCTTAAAGACTACTATATGCTGACTGTCCTAAACAGCAGAAAACATGAGTACTTATGAGCATGCAAATAAAAACTACAGGGACAGAAAAAATGGAAAGAAAATCTAAGCACTTCCAGAGAAGTAGAGATGAAAGTAAGAGAAGTAGAGAAGAAAGTAACAAAAGGCAAACCGGCTCATCAAAAAATGATGCTTCCCATTGAAGCTCAGGGTTAAGCAGTGAGACCTAAGAAAGAGAAGAAGTTGTCAGCATATCAGTCTTAACTCGAGAGAGTAATGGGTTTCTAATATATTATGAAAACAGACACTGAAATCATAACAAGAGCTACTAGCAAGGTAAAGGGCACAACTTTAATTGATTCTTACAGAACTAATTGCAAAAGCAGCAATCGATCCAAAGCCAACAAGAGAGTTCATATTTGGTGATCCCTTTGTGAATGCCCAAAGACCATCAAAGAGCAGGTCTGTAACATAATTTATTTCGGTTAGTAATGAACTACGATGATAAACTACATAGTTCCTATCTACATAACTGCCAAAAAATGACGCTAGTATTGGGGGGAAAAAAACAACATGGTGCACTAAGCTCCCACTAATGCATGAAGCCCATGGAAAGGGCCCACCCACATTTTCATTTGAATTCTTGACATGACACGATTAACTTGCAAACTGAAAAAAGATTCTCTATACTACTCATAATAACAACTTTAATCGACTCTCTTCCAAGACTTAACCGCAGAGATGACTGTCAAAATTGGACATCAAATTCAATCACATGATCATACCCATTTGATTTTTTAGTTAACTTCCACAGTTAACTAGAAAAAGTAACAAAGGAACATAAACAAACAAGAAAACAGACAAAAGATAAATGGAGTAGAAAGTAACAGTCAATTAAGAAAGAAACAGAATAGAATAAACAAGTAGTGATTAACCTCGTCCAGGTCCTAATAAAGCCCCAACTGCCAATCCAGCTTTGACATAAGAATTATGCAGTATATCCAACATTGAACCTGTACCAATGTAGATCAACTAGTCTGAGTTATCCAGAACAGAAAATTTCATCAAACACTAGCTATTTAGCTTTTGGTACAGATATTTCTAAGCTGAATTGGATATAATTTCAAAGAAAAGCAATGTAACCGGATGCTTCTTTCCAAGCAGAATTTGATATAATATTGATCATTATGGAACCGGGTAAGAGTATTTGCGTTTTTTTCTTTTCAACATTTTTTACAAACTGTTAAATCAAGTGTTCAAATCGTTGTTGTTCTGAACTAGCAAGCATGTATATTCACTCAAGAAATGAATTGTGCATCTTCTGCAAGTTCACCGTGAATATGAATGCCAAGAGAGTGCAATATATGAGTAGCGTGAGTTCCACAGCATAAAGCAACCAGAGTCCAAGCGAAAGCCACTCGGTTACGACTCTCAACAAGCAACGCCTCCTTTTTCTTCACCGTTTCCTTCCACTTCTTCACCTTGGCATCGATTCCTAACCCAGATGACCTCTTCTTCGTCGGAAAACCACATTCCGTCAACCTCTTAGCCAACTCTTGAGCCGCCAAACCAGTCTCAGCTGCATCGGCTTTCAACTTAACCGCAGCTGTCTCGGTCAACATATTGACCACAGCCGAGTCAACTCTGTCGTCCGCTGACAAGATTGCTTTGACACGTGAGACACACGCGCCGCACATCATCCCGCTCACATCTAGTAGCGCCGTCGTCTCATCATTTTTCAACTGTACCTGCTGCTCATTTCCGCTCGCCGGAACTTTGAACTCAACAGCCTTGGCGAATACGGCATTGCGCCGCAGCAATAGCTGACTACTACGACGTCGTTGATGGATGAGAGGATTGAAGTGAAAGCTGCTGGTACGGCGTCGTTCGTGGTTGACATTGGAGCGAATGAAGTTGGATGTGAGGTTGTGATCGTGTGAGAGAGAGAATCGGAGGAGATTGGCCGTCATGGTTTCTCCGGTAGAGTAGAAATCGGAGAAATGAAAAATGGATATGAGAGAGGAAATGAAGGAACTAGTGGCGCATAGTCAATATTTCATGCATACAAATGACACGTAGATTTGAATTCTTGCTGGATGAAATGAAATGAAAAAAACGTGTGATCCAAATTTATCTTTATTTCTAGAGTTCAACAAGTTGCTTGATTTCACAGTTTGGGGTTGTACATGGACATGCTAACTTCAACTTTCAAAGATCATGTTTAAATTTTGTACTTAAGATTTTGGGTATATTTTTTATTTCAAAATTAATGAGATCTTTTTATTTTATTAATCATGTTAATAAAATGTTTAATTAATGAAGATGTGGAAGATGATGGTGATTATTTTTCAAAATCAATTCAAAGTTATAGCATAGGCTCAATTATTTTCTAAAGTTTAATTAATGACTATAAAAGAATGGACCATATGAATTGAAAACTCTATTATTGAGATTTCTACTGGTCTTTATTATTTCTTAAAAATATGATTTTGCTGTCAATTCAATTTAATGGTCTTTGGGAATTTAGTATTTTATTATGTTTGGCATAAATTTATTTTAGATTCTATAAATAAATATAACTCATAAAACTTGAAATTTATTTAACATTTATTAGTGAGATTATAATATAAGAATACATGAAATCATTCATTTTTATATTGAACTTGCATATGAAGTATAACCCTATATATATTCTTCTTCAAATAATAATAGTGATATATATGAAATATAAGATATAGGAGAGTTATTTTTTCTTTAAATATTTGGTTGAATTGGTAGGTAGAGTCCTTATTTCTTTTGCCTCCATGGTAGGTGGGATTAGAATGAGATATTATTATATGATGTTAATCCCTGCTTTTTAAGACCAATAATAGGCAATTTCCATTGCATATGGGGTAGTTAACACCCATGACCCATGTGCACCACATGCATTTTTTTTTTATTCAAATCAATGTCTATCTTTGATTTTCTGTTTCCCCCCCCCCCCCCCCCCAAATCAGATGGCATTACAATTAGTGAGAATTGAGAAAGAGTATTTGTTTAATCAGGAAATATCCTAAAATTCCTTCAACTCAGGCGGCACATCGAATTTCGGAACCCCTTAAAAAACGATATTGTTTATATAAGATTAAAATAAAATGATTATATATATATATAGTACATGTTTTTTAGCCTTTTCATTTCTTGTTAGTTTAGTCATTTCTCACTTGGTAATTTACCTCTTATTTTGGACCCATGGAGGAACTTCTAATGGCTTGACCAATATCTTAAAAAATATTTGTCTAATTTGACAGATTACCTCCATTACATTTTGACTAGTATAAGCTTCACAAAAGGATGCTATGCAAACAGTTACCAAAATTATACAGGAGTCAGTATTATCTAGTGTTACCATCATTATAACAAAATGATTATTTCTTGGTTTTATTCTATAGTTTGGGACATAATCTTGATCAAGTTTCAATGTTGATTTCACTATTTCTGGTAGAGAAATAGCTTCATCAAGGGTGTGTTTGGTATGAAGGAAAATATTTTCCAATTTTCTCATGTTTGGTTGGGTAAAATTTTTGGAAAATGTTTTTCAAATCAACTCATTTTCCTCAAATTTAAAGAAAATGATTTCCCTTCAAAAATTACGGAAAACATTTTCCAAAACTCTTCTCCAACTTCATATTACCATTTTTTTGTTGAAAAAATAAACGAAAAAGGCCTAAAATACCCTCAAAGTATTGAAAATGGTACACAACTACCCATCATCCACCTATTGGCTCCAAAATACCCTCCCCATCCACCTATTGGCTCAGAAATACCCTCCCCATCCACCTTTGGGTCCAATTTTAACCACTTCATTAATGGAGCACCATTTAAAATAATTAAATAATCCTTTTAATTACGTGGCGCTCAACCATTGATTGCAATTTAATTATTTAATATAATTTTAAACCCACCCATTACCCACCCATTTTTAACTAAACCCGCCCGACCCAATACAAAAAGAACCCAATATTTTCATATGAGTATTTCTCCTTGTTTGATTTTTCGTCACGCCCCGAGCCTACACCCTGGGCGGGACTGACACTCGAGAACCATTGCTGGCCCAAGCGAACCCTGGCCTGACTTACTTACTCAACGGAAGACTTAACTTAACAAGATAAACCCAAACAAAACTTAGAATGTTATAAAGAAAACATTTAACTAGCCAATAAGTCAAACTCAAGTCTCAACATAAGATAATGAAAATGAAAAGACTAAAGAACTAACATTTGACTGTCTATGAAGCCTCTAAAACAATTGAAATGGATGTCGGGACAAGACCCACGACATCCTAATGAACTATAATTATTGAAAGCAATAAAGGGATCCTCCGGAAGCAAGGAGGCTCACCAACAAGTCTGGAGCTCAACTAGAATCAACGATGCACTGGATGCTGATTCTGGTTACCTGTATCTGCATCACTAAAAGATGCAGGCCAAATGCATCAATACATTGAATGTACGAGTATGCGAGGGGAATTCTAAAACAAGACATAAGCTTGAAAGGAACTGAAGAACTTACCTGGCTCAACTCAACTCAACTTAACTGAACTCATTTCAATATAAAACAATATAAAAACAAGTGCAATATAAAGAAAGGCTTTTAAACCATGGATGTCAATTATGTGTGTATGCAAAGATACAATATAACTTTGAGATGTATGTAAAAATACAAATAAACTGTGTATATAAGAATACAATTACTTCTGTGTGAGTTTCTCTAACCGATAACCATCACGTAAGAGCTATTGTGATGATACAACATTTTGTCTCACGCTGCCAGGGTCGTCCTATACCTTGTCGAGGGTATAGAACCTGACTACTAAGTGGATCCACTAGTCTATGCTAAAAAGCAGTAAGGAATCATCTAAAAAGTATGACCTTTTTCTACCCATGATGGCTACATGGTTTATGTGGGCTGTGAGTTGTCTGAACTCTCCCCCATATCGGTGCTCAATACTACTCCCAAAATATGATACTAGCTCTTATGTTTAAAAACATACTTTTTTCTGTGATTTGAGATAATTGCTCAAAAACTTAGCACAAAGGTTATCTTGGAAATCAAAGTTTCCTCTCTTGCTTAATTGTGAAAGCGTTTACTCTTTTCTGAAAACTAGCTCAAAGGCTCTTTGGAAATCAAGGTTTCCTTCTCTTGTTTAAATGTGAAAACATTTTAAATTCTTTGGGAATACATAGTCCCCATATACTTTTGAAGAAGTGAACTTCAATCTTTACTCATTACTCAACTTGAACTTTAAGTCTTAAAACAAAGTTAAAACATTTGGAAAAGACTTTTGGAAAACTCTAAGAACTTCTCTTGACTTGACTCTTACTTCTCTTGACTTTGATCTTAACTTTCCTTGAATTGGATTATGGATTCAAGGTTCATGATCTCATGTTTATGGATGATTTTATGATGTTTAGACGTACCTTAGAGTGTTGGAATCAACTAGAAAACATAGTTATATATGTTGCTAAGGAACTAGTACGAAAAAATGGGAAATAATAGGAAAAATTGGTGTCCCTGGCGCTCTGAGAGGCGCGGGGTGCCAACCTTAAAACTTCAAAGGTTGGGGTAGGGTGCTCTGGCTGACATGACTCCCCATAGCCCAAACTTCAATGTTCCTTTCTTGGGGCTCTGAGAGGGGCGGCGCCCCAGGCCATTGCCTAGGTCCTTCGACTTTTCTTCTTCGTTTTTCATCTCTAACCCCCTATTTCAACTTAGTTCTTTCCCCAAACACTTAGAATCAACTATACCATCAATATATGAAAGATTCTAATCGAATTCACACCTAAAAATCATGGATTCGGATCAAACAACTCCTCAACAATTTCAACGAATCAAGAATTCAATAGAACTTTAACAAACCCATCAAGAACTCAATTTCTAAGCTTTCAAGAACTTAAATTTGCTGAAATAAATCATTATTGGTGCATGGGTGAACTAACCCAACGCTATGTGATCTCACATACCTCGTAGGGATCACCCCTTGACGAAATCCACAAGCGATTCTTGAGGAACTTGACGATTCTTGCTTCTTCTCCTCTCTTCTCTTCTTCTTTTCTCTTTTCTAAAACCCTAACTCAATATTGTAAAAGCGTAAACTGAATCCTATCAGTTTAGACCCCAATTAATTACCCAAAAATGAAATTAAGTCATGGGGTTTGGAAAAGACCATAATGCCCTTCTAAAATCCGGATTAGACTTTCCTTAATTGAACAACCCAACTTCAAATGGGCATATCTCACTCATACGAACTCGTAATCGCGCAAACTCGACGGCGTTGGAAATATTATTCCAAGATCTTTCCTATGATATCTTGAAACACACCTAACTCATCCTGAGCTAGAAGTTATGGTCGTTTGAAGTTGACCAAAAACTCAACTTAACATACTTAACATAATTTCCAGATTTTTATATTCTTTCCAAAAATGACTATTTCCAATTTTTAACTTCTTCCTAGTTATTTAAATTTGTGAGATGTTACATTTTTTTGATATGTTTGAGTGGTTTTGTGGGATTTTTATTTTTATGATTGTTAGTTGTAATAGGGAAATACAGATTTGTACTTTGAAGTGAAATTGCATTTATATCAAGGGTGTTGTTGATATTGTTGTGCAGTCACATTGTGGGCATTTTTATGTGCTGTTGATATTGTTGTGCAGGTTTTCGTACTTGATGATTAGAAAAACATCATACCAAAAAAACTTGATTGATTGAGGTGTTTTAGTTATTACCTTGTATTTGCTAAAAGTTAGAGGCTTGCCCCCTCCCCCCCCACATATATATATGTATCCATGTTTCGTGTTGAAAATATTGTATTCAGTCGAACTTGTATGTGATAAGCTAGATATGCCATATGAAAATATTGGGTTCTTTTTGTATTGGGTCGGGCGGGTTTTAATAAGTATTGGGGCGGGTTTAATTAAAAATGGGTGGGTAATGAGTGAGTTTAAAATTATATTAAATAATTAAATTGCAATCAATGGTTGAGCGCCACATATTATTTTAAATGGTTCTCCATTAATGAAGTGG